GGACCGCGTCACTTGCCCGCGGCTCCCGGTGGGCAGCAGTGATTCCACCCTGTCTCCTTCCCCAGCCTCCAGCAGGATGTGCCCAGCCTGGAGGTGCTGGAACAGGAGCTGGCCTGGATGAAGGAGACACTATCACAACTGGGATCTCCTGTGGTGCTCTGCCACAATGACCTGCTCTGCAAGAACATCATCTACAACAGGGCACGAGGTTGGTGGCAGTGGCCTGGTGTGCCCAGTGCAGGGACCTGCCCCTCACCCACCCCTGGGGGCTGTCACCCCCATCTCCCCCTCCCTCACTGACCCACCTTTGCCTCCCCAGAGCACGTTCGCTTCATAGACTATGAGTACACAGGGTACAACTACCAGGCCTTTGATATTGGAAACCACTTCAACGAGTTTGCAGGTGAGTTGGGCTCCTTTCCCTGCACTGGGGGTCATCCCACCATGGGCAGTGATCTGCCCATCCCTGGGGGTGGAGGAGGGAGCTGTATCCCCAGTCCCATGGTGGGAAATGAGGTTGCCCTGGGGTCTCTCCATCCCTGGGGGGGGAGGAGGGAGCTGTATCCCCCGTCCATGGTGGGAAATGAGGTTGCCCTGGGGTCTCTCCATCCCTGGGGGTGGAGGAGGGAGCTGTATCCCCAGTCCCATGGTGGGAAATGAGGTTGCCCTGGGGTCTCTCCATCCCTGGGGGTGGAGGAGGGAGCTGTATCCCCAGTCCCATGGTGGGAAATGGGGCTGGATGGAGTTAGAGTGATGAGTGAGGGGGGGATATTATTGTTGAGCTCCTGGATGCTGCTGGGATGCAATTCCTGCATGAGCCTGGCTCTTAATCTGAGGCTGGATGGGTGCCTTGAATCACAGGGTTGATTCTTGGCTTGTGCAGACCTGGGGTTCACTCACCTGGCTGTGCATGGGGAGAGCTCTTTGCCGTGGAGAATCTCTCCCTCTTGCCCCCTGTGCCCCTCGGGGGCATCACTGACCTCCTGTCCCCTCACAGGTGTGAAGGAGGTGGATTATGGGCTCTACCCCAGCAAGGAGACCCAGCTGCAGTGGCTGCACTCCTACCTGCAGGCCTACAAGCAGCTCACCCAGGGGGAGGGAGGCACTGAAGTGTCTGAGGAGGAGCTGGAGGCTCTCTACGTGCAAGTGAACAAGTTTTCTTTGGTGAGTGCTGGAGCTGGGAAGGAACTAACCTCTCTCCAGGGGTGAAAACCCAACCCAGGGCATGGGTTTTCCTCTGCTCTTGGGGTTGCAGCTTGCCTGGTGAGGATGGGGTTTGAGGACACCTGGGGCACACTGGGTCCAGCTCCAGCTGCTGAGCCCTGGGCAAGGTCACAGGTAGCACCTGTGTGTGCCACCCCATCATGTGCCAAGGGACAGTGTGCCTCTGACAGCCGTGGCCTTGGGCATCCCTTCACAGGGCTCAGACACAGCCTGCCATGAGGAAATCCTCTTTGCTCAATGCCATGGGCAGGCCAAGCCAATTTTCAGGGAACATAGGGCAAAATAGCATTCTGGCTGTGCTCAGCATCCTTCCTGCTGCCAGCTCTCACTCCAGCTGGGACCAGCCTCTGGAGCATATGAAAATACAGGTGTGGACCAGCCTCAGCTGCTGCCACCCCATGTCCTGGCATCACAGCCATGGGAATTCTGGGACCCAGCCAGGAGAGGCACGAGCAGGCAGGAACCCGTTCCTATGTTTTGTCTGTTGCAGGCATCCCATTTCCTCTGGGCATGCTGGGGCCTGATCCAGGATAAATACTCTACCATAGACTTTAATTTCTTAAGGTGAGTTCACCTTGTTTGCTCCCAGCACAGTTCGGTGTGGAACAAGAAGATCCCAGTGGTGGTCACCGTGCCATGGCCAGAGGACACAAGGTCACAAGGCCCTCATGTCTGTCCCTCTCTCCTCTCTTGGCAGATATGCAAAGTTAAGGTTTAAACAGTACTTCAAGATGAAGCCAGTGGTCACAGCCCTGCAGGTCTCCAAATAGCACCGTTGGCTCCGAGCCCCTGAGCTATTCTGTCCTCGCTGCGTCCACAGCCCTCGCGTCCCCCTCGCCCCTTCCCACCCCACTCGGGGGCGAGGGCAGGTCCTGCCGGTGGGCAGGGGGAGGAGAGGAGCTCTGACCCACCCACCGACTCAAGGACATCCCCAAGACTGGACCATGAGATGCTGGAGAGGACCACAGCCTCGGAGAGGTCCCTGCCTACACGAGGAAGCCTCACCATCGCCTTAACGCCGAGCCCCTCTCGGCCCTGGTGCCTGGCAGGTCTGTGCTCTGCTGGCACTGCTGCTGCTTGGCCTGGCACCTGGTTTGCTCCTCTGTGCTGTCCCCAAGGGGGGAAAAAGATGCCCCCACCATGTGCTCAGGAGCCCCCAGAGCTGTCCAGTCACTGTTGCTGCCCCATGTACATGCTGTGCCCATCACCATCGCTGCCCCCTCCGTCCCCTCGTGCCCTCCCTGCTGGGTGCACCCCCAAACCAGCACCTTCCCTGGCTCTGCATTGATCCTGGCCATGGGACCAATTTCTATGAGGGGTGGGAGCTGCTGTGCTGCAGTTTGGATGGTGCAAAGCACAAGGGGCAGTGCCAGCCATGGGCACCCCCTGTGTTGTGCTCAGCCCACGACTGGCTCTGCCTGTCCCCACAGTTCCACAACTGGCTCTGCTTGTCCCCACAACTGGCTCTGCCTGTCCCCACTGCCACAGTCTCCCAGACCCCTATTAGCTTCATGGCTTCTCCCATAGCATCCAGTGCTGCTGGAGCAAGGAGCTCCCAGCTCTGCCTTCCCTGTCCCCCCCAGGACCAGGGGGGTCAGTCCTGCCCCTCACCATCCCTCTGCTCCTGTCGTGGCTGTGGCCCTCTGTGGGACACCCCCAGGAGGAGTTTGCACAGGAGCCAGACACAACTTCACCCCCCCAGCCCATCCCAGGCTCTGCTGAGCACTGTCCAGCTCATCACAGTGATTGTGCATCCCCTGGGGGTGGAATTCAGACCTCTCTGCCTTGGCTGCTCAGCATAGGGACAAGGTGGTAATCCCCTCCCTATGGGCACAGGAACCTCCCCCAGCAAGAACCAGGACTATCCTTGCATCCGTGTTTGTTTTGGTGCAAAATAAAAGCTGCTGGTAGCTGGAAGTTGGGAAAAGTGGATCTGTGGGGGCTTGGGGGTGTTCCTGACCCTTCTGCAGCTGGAGGTGTTCTGGTTGGACTCCCCATCCAACCCTCCACCCCAAACTGATAAAGTCCAGACCTAGATCTCTGCTCCAAAAAGTCATCTTTATTGTGCCAAGGGACTGGGAGGACGATTGTAAACAGGTATGTGAAATATACAGGTTAAGTTACTCATTGTCTTATTAACAAAATAAAGCTCTATCTATATTTACAATCTTAAAAAAACCAAAATAATAAACGAGACAGGAAGAGCTGCAGCTGTGGAGCACATCTGCTTCCAGCCCCTCTGCTGCACAGCTGGGCCCACCCTGGGAGCTGGCACCCCTTCCCCAGGGGAGGGGGAATAAATAAAGCACTGACAAAGGGCAAGAGAGGAGAGAAGTATTTGCTGGGCAGGTGAGGAGGCTCTCATGGATAAATTCCCAAGGGCAGTGGAGCAGCACTGGGGCTGAGGACAGGGGTCTGGTGCCACCCCCTGGAGCCTGAGTGCCCACAGCTCCTTCTCGTGTCCCTGGCAAGGTGTCTAGTGCCAGGCTGGAGCCAGAGCCACGGAGCCTGTTCCTGGCTGCTGCCACAGGGAGGTGCACGGAGTCTGCACAGGGATGGATGCAGAGGATGTACACAGACACTGCACACACCCCCAGACACT